ACTCGATCAACCCGCAACCCGACCAACCCGCAACCCGAATGAACCAAGTCCAAACCCGCCCGATTGACACCTCTAGCCGTTACTCTCGGTTCCTGCTAAAGCGCCTATGCTCGGAGGCCGACATGGACACCACTCAGACCTTCTGGCACCCTTCCTCTACTCGGGATGCTGAGGCAAATTGATTGAGATTGCCCTTTGTCCATGTGTGGTGTTTTGTGTTTTTGCTTCTGTGTGTCGAACTGTATAATTTGTGTGTTTTGTTTTACTTTTCTTTTTTTGTGAATCCATGGGGCTGATAACTGTTATCCTAACTCTTACCTAGTGTGAGTGGTTGTGTTTTGTCTTGCCTTCATTCTCAGAAATTGGTCCTTCTTCCAGTCTACTCATGATGACTAGTCCCATCTCTAGTCCCACTACAATCCATTCTTCCCGGTAACATAGTTCCCCCTATCTTTCCCTCTTATCCATTAAGGGCAATGTCTATCTTAAGTGTGGGGGTGTTTATCTTTGACTGCTTAGATGCTTTTGTGTGTTTGGAGCCTAGTCCAATGTCCAAATTTTACGATTTGAGGGATCCAAGTACGTGTTTCTTGCAGTTGCCTACTCAATATGCTTTGAATTGACAGCCTGTATAGTAGTATGCAACCTAGGGAGATAGTTGTAGCACTATGGAGGATGCTAAAGTGTAAGATATGTCATATCTTTCTCTTTGTTGTGCCGGTTGATTGTGTGAACTAGGGGCTTTAGGACCTTTGATTCATGTGGTATCGATGACTCCCCTTATGTTGTGTTGTGAACTCATGTATCGTAAAAGGGTGCTCAGTTATGCATAATTAAAGAGATTTTAGTGATCCTTCGTGCGGTAGGCCTACAAGGTGAAGCTAAGCCGTCTCTAGTACAAGTACAAATTCCACCCGTTGAATTGTTTGCCTACTCGAGAATGTGTTTTTATGGGCACGAATAGAGCTTCGACCCCCCACCCCTCCCTCAATTTTATTGATCCTCCACCCGAATTGAGGAAAAGGAGTGATAAAATCCTCGAATCGATTAAATTCCATCCAGGATTGATCGTCCAAGAGGCCAAGTCGAATTCTGAGAAAGAAACAAAAAAGTGTCCAAGTCATTTTCCGTGTTCAAGTAGCCGACTTTGGAGGCACGTTTCTCTCAATTGGCTCGATGAAAATTCTAGTTTGATAGCTAGTTTTCAAGCTGTTCAAAAGTGTATGGAAAAACAGGAAAACTGCCAGAATCTGTGTAAGTATAAATCTGTGATCGTGAAGCCTACTTTTGATCTTAATTAGAGGAGAATAGATAAGATTCGAGTCAAGAGGCTTCTACAACATGAATGTAGGTATGTTTGTCTACAAAGGAAAGGAATTGGATGAAGAATTCGATACCTGAGATGCTTCAAACAAAAGGCTTCAAGATCGTACGAAGTCACAGAAATTATGCTCTGTAAAATAGAGTTTTGTTTTCCTTATTCGATTAGGATTAGGTTCTTTTCCTATTTTTTAGTTCCTTTTCATATTAGATTGTTGTTAGGACTTATGTTGATGTGTATAACCCTAGCTAAGCCTATTTAAACGTCTTGTTTCATTGTAATCGTCACTTTGTTGAATAGAAATCGAAACCGTTTGGTTTGTGCAAGTTACGACTTGTTTTGGGTTTTGTCGATTCCAAACTTGTTGAACTTGTGTATCTATTGAATAGTCCCTTCAATCGTAGTTGAGCAACTACTCTTTTATACCATACGAGCTTTTCCCAGGTGTGGAATTGTCTGTTGGTTCCGTTTTATCCAAGTTCGTATTAAGAACTTTTCGTTCTTGATTCGAGTTCAATCGATTCTTCATTTGAATCGTTTGCTGCATTACTTTGATCACATACAACCCCCCCAGGGTCGTATTAAGGATTTAAAAGAAGTACTCTGGCGAGCGAAAGATGTACATAAAATGCTCTTGCTTAACCAATAAGAGATGACCATGCATAAAAACTGCAGTTTGGAACACCAGCAAAGCGCGATGCAAAAAACAAAAGAAAAAGAAAAAAATTGTAAGGTGGAAGGGTTTCTAACGAATGAAATGGAATGGAAGAGCACCTGATACGAAGAGTCCTTGGTTATTGTGCTGTGTGAGTCTCTTTATCCATGAATTGCCTGTCCTAGGTCCACTACTTTGCATGATCCTGACTTGAGTCTAGTACTCGCACGATAGAAATAGGGTATGTCTTAGAACATTGGTTGACCTCGTAAGTTTCTAAATGACCTAGGAAGTCCTCTACCAACGGGGTTTCATGTTGCTGTAAAGATCTAAAGTGTTGCATTGGCTTGAGTCAGTTTTGCTTGGGGACAAGCAAACGGTTAAGTGTGGGGAAAATTGATAAAACAATATTTGGACATGTTTTCCCCATCATTCCTTGATTGTTTGAGCTCGCTTTCTCGCTCCCGTCGCCTATTTTACGCTAGGTTGTGTTGGTTTGTGATGTTTCAGGTCCTAGTATGTGAATGGGTGTGAAGGAGAGAGTTTTGGGACGTTTTGGAGCGATCGGGCAGAGAGTAGGTAAAAGTTACGGCCAGACCTTGCAAGTTATGTTCTGGACCGTAACTTCCCCATGTAGCCCGTAACTTTGGAGGAGCAAAAGCCAGGGATCCAAACAAACTTTTAGAGTTACTGCCAGGCCCTTGAAGTTATAGTCTGAACCATAACTTATCGTCCATGCCCGTACTCTGAGAAAGCGGGGCTGAGGTTCCAGGAGTGTTTTTAAAGTTACGGCTTCCTCCTCAAAGTTACGGTCCCAACCATAACTTCTCCTTTGAAGCCATAACTCTTGGTTTACGGAGAGCAGGAAGCATCGTATGGATTTTAATCGAGATTCCTTTAAATTGGGCATGGTGAATCGATTGCTTTAGTCGAGAAATAGATTATATGCTCTGTACTAGAATTAACGTCAGTAGAGAAAGTTTGGTGTGTTATTGCCTTGGTTAGTTTATGCCAGTGGAGATTAGTCGCTCGCCAGGTATTCAAATTGAGAGGGTATGGATTACTTTAATCGAGATTCCAGACTTGTCAATAACTTTCCGCATTATACCTATCAATCGGAGCAAATTGGTAACATATAATCTGAACTAACTGCATACTAGGGGAACTCATATCTAGATGACCTTTAGTCGCTTGAAACCATAACATTTACTGCTTTCTGTTTACTCTGATTTAGAACAACTCACTACACTTTTGCTGCTAGATAATAGAAATTCACGGAGTAGGCAGCACATCTAGGACCTCGGTTGACATTAAAACTGAACGACTATTCTACATTTCTATTCTACGATTACACATGGTCATAGTTTGGTGTTGTGTTTTAGCGAGTTAGTAATTATCTTATCTGGCTCATAATTTTTATATTGCATTTTAGGAAACTTAACTGCTAGCTTTGGTCAATACTTAAGATTAGCTTCTTATAGGACCAATCTGGTAGGACCTTTGTACTCTTACTCATACTGTTTTTGCTCTCGTCCAAACTATCATTTTGTACTACATACATGCGCTTGTGAAAACATTTTGATTTGCACAATCCGAGACACCACTCGGTATATTCCACATTATGCAAACAATGACTTTGGAAGAGTTATCATAATGAGACAGTCCCGACGCTGCATGTTAAATCACTCTCTAACACGCTCTCTCAAACGAAAGCCAACTAATAGGGCTTGAAGTTTGCATAGGCCCACCATACCTTGTGCTTTAATCAACTGTTAATATTGGTGGTCGTGGAGATTCGAACACATGACCACTTGGTCAATCCAGCTCTAATACCATGTCATAAACCAGTTGATCTCAATAACTCGTTGGTGTTGGGTGATCGAGCGCGAGACTTTTCCTCCTTTTCGACTGCAAACCCTAATTTTTGTTCTCCGAAACACAAATTAGGAATGAGAAATGTTTGACGAGGTCAATCTCAGTATTGCAACAATAATGAAATAAAATGGAAAAATTAACGTGGTAAATGGGGCCAAGTTAAATTGTCTACAAACGGGCTTGATTATCAGGACAGGCCCGCTATGCTGATTTGTGTTTACTCCTTGCTTCTTCAACGTCAGAACTCAAGGCCCCGACTCGTCCTCCGTCCAAGTTCCCTGTTCGTCGATGAGACCTGCAAAAAAGAGTTTCCAACAACACAGCTACGATCAAGATTAGAATTTTAAGGACAGAACAAGAACATCGTTTTTTACTTGGTATCCGGTACTATTTCATTTAGTACTGACTACTCCACGGTCGAAGGTCCTCAATCGAGTCCTTCGACGTTCCACTATGAGTTTGTAAACAAATCCCAATGACACTTGATCTCCAGTCAACTCCCCGTCACCTATCAAACTCAGAATCTGGTTTACACCCCACAAACCCAATTAAGAATACCCACTATTCTACTATCAATTTCCCCAACTGCTACTGACTCCTCTCTTCTCCCTATCTCACAACACTGAACCCTTCTTTCGTGATTGCATAGACAGAGTATGTGAAAAGTGCCTTCTACTTGTGAGATTACAAATATATAAATACTCCAATTCTGTTGACCGTTGTTCCATGATTTCCTCTTGATTTGTCCGATCTCCCTTTCTTGTTTCACCATATACTTTCCTTCTCTAAAAGAATTGAACGTTGCTTGAAGACTTTCCTTCTTGAGAGATATTGTTCCCAGTTGGCGGTACAGAGCATTTATGAGCTTCTCACAACATACTCCCCTAAGCTAGTCAATGGCTCCTGTTGCTGTAAATAAGCTTCCTGCACACACTCAGCAAACACTTGGTGTAGTCTGTTCTCATACGATATATTAAAAGTTTGGAAGCAAAGGATCTTATTTTATTTCATTTAGTACGATACACAATGTTCACTTGACCAGACCACTGACAACAAACTGACAAAGAAAAAGCCAAAACAACACCCTAACACGACACTTTTAACCAACCAAGACTGCTCCCCCATGAACTAGTCACTTCCTATCAAGACCTAGAAGGGATATTTAGGAGGAGATTCATAGTCTGAGATGTCATCATCAGACCCAGAATCTGAGGACATGGGATCAAAGTCCTCAGGAGCAGGTTCTGCCTCATCCTCCAGATCTCCTTGGGGAGCCTGCATAAGCTCCAAACTTTCCTTGCACAGCACCAACCCAAGCGAAGCTCTTGTCAAACCGTCTTGACTTGACTCAACAGCTCTGTTTTTCATTACTTCAGCATTGATGGCTGAAACAGCATCCTTAAGTAATGCTGGAACCAGTTCATGAGATGCTTCAGGTGCAGCAGGAAGTAACCCACCAATTCCTCCCCCTGAGCCAGTGACAATCTTACGACGGCCAACGTCAGCATCCAGGAGATTGAAAATGTGGTTCGGGCGCAAGTCCTCAAGAATATTGCAGATAGTGACTTTGTTGCACAGATCAAAATGTAGCCGGTACAGCAGATGCGTGATAAGAGGTCCAAAAGGCAGGTTCCCACTATAGTTACCATCTCCAAAGTGGAGCATGTGATGAAAAACTCAGGAGGCAAAGCTGATAGGCTGACAAGCTCGAGCATGAGACATGATCCAGAGATCATTAGGATGCAACACATCCGAGCTCCGCAGATCACGAGGCAACCAGCACCGAGTGATGAACCAGTGAAGCACCTTCAGGTCATCTGGAAGCCGTCCGACATCAAGGTGATGGGAGAAGTACCTCCCTGTATCTTCACTGAGAAGAGACAACGAGGCCAAGAAATCGAACCCCAGATTGTGGAACTCCCCATCAAACCCAGCTTGGAGACCAGAGTGGGGCAATGAGAGGACCGAGGCAAGCAAATCAGGCGTCACCTTGATTTTGTGGTTATAAACCACAGTGGTGAAGAACGAGGGTTCAGGGCCTAGCCCCCATTTGATGCTCACATAGAACATCCTGACTGCTTCAGGACAGAAGCTGAAACGTTGGTCTTCAACCAAGGAGCTCCAGCGGAAACCAGCAAGCATGGAAGAGAGATTCATTCCATACTTGTTGAAAGCAGAAGGTTGAAAGGTGAAGGAAGGTTGAATGGGGCGATCGCGAAAGCTACGTAAGTACCTAGCGTATTCACGACCAGTCTGAAAGCCCTGGTTGTTGAATTCAAGAGGATTGGTAATCACCATGGTAATGGAATTTGGCGGAAGAGTGTGAGGTGAATGAGAGAAGGCGAGAAACTGTGAATGAGAAGGAAGCGAGGCTTCCAGCCTTTTAAGTCAGTACCCACAGAATAACAGGGAAGGAATTCGAACAGAATCCCTGATTGGGTGGAATTAGGTTTAAATAAAAAAAAGAAGGTAGAAGGGACTGCTTGAGAATTTAGGAAATAGGAATTTCATCAAGATTGAAAAGCCCTAATTCTCGTCGAATTGAAAGGAATTTTTCACCATTATGTGGTTTGGTAAATATGTCAGCCCACTGCATATCAATCCCTATAAATTCCAGCTGGACCTTTCCTTCCTGAACAAAATCCCTAATGAATTGATACCTAATCTCGATATGTTTGGTGCGAGAATGCTGAATGGGATTTTTTGACATATATATGGAACTTGTGTTATCGCACTAAACAGGAAGAGTTTTAAGATGAAGGCCATAGTCTGATAGGTGGGATTTGAGCCACAAAGCTTGTGAGCAGCGCAGACCTGCTGCCACGTACTCTGCCTCGGCAGTCGAAAGAGCCACTGAGTTTTGTTTCTGGCTAGACCAAGAAACCAAGGAAATGCCTAGAAAGTGACACGCCCCAGATATGCTTTTTCTATCAACTATGCACCCAGCAAAATCAGCATCACTATAACCTATTAACTCCAGACTAGAATCTCTGGAATACCACAGACCCAAGGACTCAGTTCCTGCCAAGTACCTAAAGATTATATTTACAACCGATAAATGACTGACTCTAGGAGAACTCTGAAACCTGGCGCACACACACTGTACAAAATGTCCGGGCGACTCGCGGTTAAGTACAACAAAGATCCTATCATGCCACGGTACATCCGATCATTTATTTTAACCCTAGAATCATCTTTAGTTAGTTTAACTGTTGACCCCATCAGAGTAACTGCAGATTAAATATTACCCAGATCAAACCTCTTAAGCATATTAGTCAAGTACTTGATTTGACTGACAAAGATCCCTTTTGAAGTTTGTTTTACTTGCAGCCCCAGAAAGTAACTGAGTTCCCCCATTATGCTCATTTCAAAGGTGTTTTTCATTGAGTTTTCAAAAGCTTTACACAAGTAAATGCTAGATGACCCAAAGATGATGTCATCTACATACACTTGCACTAGAATGGTATGATCTCCTTTTGTTTTAATAAACAATGTCTTGTCCACAGACCCTCTGTGAAACCCATCATCAATTAAAAATGAGCTAAGCTTAGCATACCAGGCTTTAGGTGCCTGTTTAAGACCATATAGTGCTTTGTTAAGTTTATATACATGATCAGGAAACTGATGAATTTCAAATCTGGGTGGTTGAGTGACATAAACTTCTTCCTGTAAATCCCCATTTAGGAAGGCGCTTTTCACATCCATTTGAAAAATTTTGAACCCTTTAGAAGCTGCATATGCACATAGAAGTCTTACAGCTTCTAACCTAGCTACAGGTGCGAAGGTTTCGTCGAAATCTAACCCTTCTTCCTGACAATAACCTTGAACTACTAACCTGGATTTATTTCGAGTTACGTTACCAATCTCATCTTACTTATTTTTATATATCCATTTAGTGCATAGGGGGGTTCTATCCACAGGTTTAGGGACCAAGTCCCAAACTTTGATTCTTTCAAATTGGCCTAGTTCATCTTGCATAGACGCATTCCAAAATTCATCCATTAAAGCTTCATCAATGTTTTTAGGTACTACTAAGGATACAAAGGCAGTATGAACCGAAGCAGCTTGAGATCTAGAAGTCATACCTTGGTTCATATTTCCTATTACTTGAGAGATCGGGTGTCGCTTTTGTATGTGAGGAGGAGCTTGCACTTCTTTGGGCTTGTCTCCTGCATCGATTGTTGTCTCACTGCTCTCAACACGATCCCATTCTTGCTTATCACGAACCATAGCGGTTGAACTGCTTAGTCCCAGATCATCTTCATCCTCAACAGTAGTTGTACTCACACTCACAGATTAATCAAACACCACATTAATGGACTCCTCAACTTTGAGGGTCCGATGATTAAATATCCTATATGCCCTACTCTGAGTTGAATAACCTAGAAATATTGCTTCATCCGATTTAGAGTCGAACTTTCCAAGTTTATCTTTAGTGTTCAGGACGAAACATTTGCATCCGAATGGATGGAAATAGCCCAGATTAGGTTTTCTTCCTTTCCAAAGTTCATAGGGGGAGTTTTGTTTAATTTAGATCTAATTAAGGCTATGTTTACTACATAACATGTAGTATTGATGGCCTCTGCCCAGAACTGTTTAGATACACCATAGTCATTAAGCATAGTTCTGGCAATATCTATTAGGGTCCTATTCTTTCTCTCCACAACTCCATTCTGCTGAGGAGTCCTAGGGGCAGAAAAATTGTGAGAGATACCCGAATCATTACAGAATGTTTCAAACTCATCAGATACAAATCCCCCCCAACCCCCCCCCCCCCCCCCCCCCCCCCCAATGATCACTCCTTATACCAACTACTTTAGACTGCTTTTTATTTTCCAGTCGCTTGGTTAACGTTTGAAAATTCTGGAAGGCATCACTTTTGTTTGTTAGAAATATTACCCGGGTGAATCTTGAGTAATCATCCACAATTACAAACGAATAGAACTTCCCACCAAGACTTTTAACATTGCTAGGTCCAAACAGGTCTAAATGAAGGAGCTCTAAAACTCTAGAAGTTGAGATGACTTGTTTACTTTTGAAGGTACTCCTGGCTTGTTTTTCTTTAGCACAGGCTTCACAAAAAAAATTCTTTCTTACACTGTAATTGAGGAATTCATGTTACCAAATCCAGGCTTACTAATTTCGAGAGGGTTCCAGCCCCCACATGACCTAGCCTCCTATGCCAGTCCAGTTGGTCATTTTTATCAATAGACATGAGATAGGTTTCGTTAGACATGCTTTTATCATTTAGATCTATGCAAAACAGTTTTCCTTTTATTTTACCAGTGAAAAGAATCTGATTGTTCAAAATGTTTTCAACATAACAGCTATCAGGTTCAAACACAACTCTATTGGATTCTCCACACATCTGACTTATAGAGAACAGATTGTGTTTTAGACCTTTAACTAGCATGACATTTTTTATAAAAGGATTTGACCCTACTCGACCTCTACCTAGAATATCAGTACTTTAATTATCACCAAAATAAACTTTACCCTTTTTAAATTTATGGAGATTCGTGAAGAGGTTCTCATTTTCAGTCATATGATGTGAGCAATTGCTATCCAGGATCCCTTCACTGTCTTTCATGCCCACTTAGAGACAGACCTGGTTACAGAAGTAGTTACTTTAGTTTTGGTATCCAAACAAGTTTGGATAATCCTAGTTTTACTTCTAGTTTAGGACAATTTCTTTTTATGTGTCCTTGTTTGTGACACGAAAAGCAAGTTTGAGTTTTTACTCTTTCTTCCTTGGCAATTCTTCTTTTGCAGATTGCTATATAATGACCCCTTTTATGACAATAGAAGCACTCGACAGAGTCTAACTTGCTCTGTCTTTCATTTTGACACGATTAATATTATGTTGACACTGGTTCTTCCTTCGGTTTCAGCTATTTTGTTTTCTAATGCCTCACACAATTTTTTACTTTCTTCTAGCCTCAAATCTGTAATCAGTTTGTCATCTAACAGTTTTTGGTAGTTTTCTTGTAGCTCAAGATGATCCCTTTTTAACTTGCTATATCTATTTTTAACATTTCCAAACTTAAGCTGAATCTCCCTAATCGTTTCTATCATCTGATCATTTTCGCTGTAGTAATCAGAGTAGTAGTTAGATGATGTTACCTTAGGGGCGTCGCTTTCATCCTCACTGTTGTCAATTGCCATATACGCCTCTTGCTTATAGTTTGTGTCTGATTCCTCTTCTTCCTCACTGCAGCTCCAAGTAGTTGCATATGCCCGTTCCTTTTTCAATTGTGGACAATCCGCCTTAATGTGACCAGCTCGTCCACATTTGAAACACCCTCCCTGAGTGGGTGTCCTGTCAGCATTGTGCTTCCTTCCACTTGTTTTGGAATATTTGGGTTGATCCTTCTCACCATCTCCATCCTTAGATTTGTTGACCAGTGCCCCTCTTCTTCTTTCCTTTCTAAGTCTGAGTAGCTTAGCCACAGGTTTGCTAAGCAGTGCTAACTCTTCGCCTTCCAGTTCATCAAACGTATCCAGTTCATCGTCGTGTGAAATTGCCTTGAAGGCAATTCCTTTCTTTTCTCTTCGTGAGTCTTCTCCTTCTTCTCTTCTGAGTTTCTCCTCGTGAGTCACCACGATCCCATCAACTCATCGAGACTCAACTTGGTCAAATCCTTCGATTCCTCAATGGCAATGACCTTCGGAGTCCATCTTTTAGGTAATGCCCAAAGAATTTACCTCACCAAATTTCTAAGACTGTTGACAATGTTCATGAACCTATCGTTCATTTCTTTGATAGTTTCATCCGGCTTCATAACAAACGACTCGAACTCTTGCTTCAGACTATTTATTCTGGAAATCTTGATGTGGGAGGTACCTTCGTGTGCAATCTGGAGTTTATCCCAGATCTCCTTGGCCGACTTGCACCCAGTCACTCGATGATACTCTTCTGGACCCAAGGCACAGTACATCAGATTGGTTGCTTTGGAGTAAGTTGGAAATTTTTCTTGTCCTGTTTAGACCACTTTCCCCGAGCCTCCTTGACTTCCAGTGGTCCGTCGAGTACGATGTTCCACAAATCTGGGTCGGTTGAGCCGATGAACAGCTCCATCCGGTTCAGCCAATGTCCATAATTGACTCCCTCGAATCTAGGAGGACGCGTTTGCGAAAAACCATCCGCCATGTAGACACCATTCCCATTTCCTGCGCTCGAACTCATTCTCGTCAGAGGTTGTTAGTCCTTAATCGCCGGCGATCGGGCTCTGATACCACTTGTTGGGTGATCGAGCGCGAGACTTTCTCCTCCTTTTCGACTGTAAACCCTAATTTTT